TTTTTTTTTTACAAGGTGTCCTATTCTAGACTAATCCTTGGGTCTGTGATCCGGCCCCTCTTCACACAGTCCGGTTAATCGCAGGATGTGCCTCCAACTAGCCAGGGTCCGAGCGCTCCCCACCTGGTCTGACAAAGTGCCAAGCAAGCCAATCCAAGTTGCACCTTGCCTTCCAAGAATAATCCTTGCCTTCCAAGTTCCCACTTGCCTTCCAAGAATAAATCCTTGCCTTCCAAATGTTCCCTTGCCTTCCAAGAATAAATCCTTACCTTCCAAGAGCCCCATGTTTCGAACTCACGACCTCTGCTCTGCCAGGTTTGACAGCGTCCGTCCTTTGCCAGTGGAGAAGTGCCCTGGGGGGCTACTGTGAGAAACATTGCTTGGCCTGTGGGATGCTTGAGTCTAGTTGTCACATTTTCTTCACTTTTATTCTTTCGTGAAGGGAAACATGGGTCACTGTCTGTCTGTCTTGATAATATTTCGATCTTATTACTTGAATTAGGTCTTGATCTTGATTTAGGTAAATGGAATACATTTGTTTTGGCTTTTCAAAATAAAATATAAGGCCATGGGACTGTGAGAAACATTGCTTGGCCTGTGGGATGCTTGAGTCTAGTTGTCACATTTTCTTCACTTTTATTCTTTCGTGAAGGGAAACATGGGTCACTGTCTGTCTGTCTTGATAATATTTCGATCTTATTACTTGAATTAGGTCTTGATCTTGATTTAGGTAAATGGAATACATTTGTTTTGGCTTTTCAAAATAAAATATAAGGCCATGGGTATGAAAGAATTAAAAAATAATTATAGAAAAATATAAAAACTAAAACCAAAAAAAGATTGGTTAACCTCAAGCATTTGGCCTTGGGTCCTCATCCCAGCCCCGCTACTAGCCTCCCAGCGTTCATGCCCAGTCCCTCTCCACCGCGTCTTGTCTCATAGCTAGCCCCTTCTCTCCTTTTTTTAGTTTTCCTTTTTTCCCCCTCTAATTTTCACCAAGTTTAAATATCACATTTCAGTTGATGTATGTGCATCATGATTTTTGAAGATTTGCTTCTGACAAAGTTTTTAGAAGGCCAACCACTAGATTGAGAGTACCAGTCATGAGCTATCCTAGAGAGGTGGGACAAAGCCGAGCCGCTACGATAGGTGAACGAATGGCTAAGTCACTAATATCATGATGAAGGATGCCTACTATACATTAGAATACTATAGTTATTACCCAAAAATAATATATATATATATGTATGTATAATTTGGATAGTGTTTTCATTATCCAAGAAAGAACTGTTCTTCTTCGTGAATTGCACGGAACTTGTTCGAAATTATCACCTTAAAATATGCGAGAAAAAAAGTTTACATGGTGGGGAATCACCTAATTAAATTCAAATAAATTAAATTGTGGTAGAATATTGAAGTCCACTAATTAAAACATTTGCGGTTGCAAGTTGCCACTGCTGGGATTTGGTAAGACTTCCTTTTTGGATACTGCTGCAATTGTTTCTTCACTCTTTTTTTTCATGATCTTTTTTTTTTCATTCTGGTAGTGGCCATCAGGGACAGAGAGATAGGCAATATGTATTAAAAATAAATGGGCAAATAATAATGAGCCACATTTTCAATGACATAATGTGTAGCTTTTTAGTTCATATTCATATTCACAATTTAATTTAATTAAAGGCTAAATTCCTCTATGGGTTCCCAACCTTCTATTTGTGTCAACCGTGTTTTCAATCTTTTAAAATTGTGCAGTGTTATCCAAAGCTTCTCTCACAATTTACTAAAAAAAATCTAATTTTAATCCCTACCAAGCACCCTCTGAGACTAAAATGGATAAACAGTAGGCATGTGATAAATGATTAAAGGCTACTATTGTCCAAAAATAATTTCCCCCAAGTTTGAATACTACTGAATGGGAATTCGTTTTTTGCTATGCGGAAACGCATAATCTTCTAGAATTATATTCGTTATGAGGTCTTCAAATTGGAGGAAAATTATTTTTGCACAATTATACCTATCAGTCATTTGTCGCATGTCTATTGTGTGTCCTTTTGCCATATAAATATATGATTTCTATCAAATTAGGATAGTGCCCAATTTTAAAAAGCTGGGGACATATCACCAACGGAAGGTTGGGAACATGGGTTGGGTCACACAAACTGTAAGCTTAGGGGGGCCTCTAGAGGAATTTACCCTTAGCTAAATGCTAAGTAACTATTTAAAAGATGATTGAAATAGTGTGCAATTGAGTGGATGGGGGTGGGGAAAGTGATAAGGGTATATTGAATTGTTCGGTCGTGTATCAAATTTTCCTAATATTCCTTCTTGCATAAAGGATATTAAAGCATGTCTTTTCCTTGAAGAGAGGGAGTGCTGTCGGTTCAAAAACAAATTGCAATTCTCTTCTCCTTGGTTATAATAAACTCGTGTATCGATAAGTGAACGTAGCTCTTGCATTGAGAGTAAATCACTCTGAATTGCGTGTTCTTTATTTGCTTTCGACTTTCTGCTTTGTGTTATTATTGTTCTCGATAATATGAATTTAGACGTTTAATCTGTGATAAAAGAGAGACATAAAGAAAACGTAGAGAGAAAGAGAGAGAGATGCAGGAGCATGACGAATATTAGCGTCATAAGCAATTAGAGAATTCGTTTGAAAATATTCTTTGAGGATAATTCTATTGCTTTAATAAGGAGACGACGTATCAAACAGAAAATGACAAGTTTATTTAAAATGACCAAAGAGTATTTCAAGCAAAAACAAGATGAACGCGACTTCACGAGTACAACCATCATGAAAGGTTTTGTGCATGTAGAGCTCGAGAGGAGAGAACTGTTCTTCAAATAAAGACAAATGAAACAGAAGTTCCATAATATTTAACTGAAGATATTTTGACATGGCAAGTGTATCATATTTTGTCCACAGATTATGCATTCCCCAGTGCTGTTTCACTGCACCACTTATAGAAAGTATGCATAAGAAATCACTAGCACCATATGCTCTCTTTCTCTTTCTTTTTTCTTTTTTTTTTCCCTTCCTGATATGATAAAGAAAAGGCACAAAGAGGGTATTTCATTACCAGATTTAGTATATTCTATCCATTTTGGAACCTCCATCTTCTGGGAAAACTGTTATGACGAGCAATAAGTAAATCAAATCCCGCGTATACGAAAGGAATCATATAGTGATCAGATAAGCATATCGTGTACAGTTTAGTTTAACAACAATTGAACAGTATTCAAGCTCCCAGAACTACTATGAAAAGAGGCGGTCAAGTGCATAAATTAGTCACGTTTTAGCATGTTTTCTACGGTAGATTGGACATTACTAGACAGTATTAAAGGAGAAAAATAGGCTTGATCAGTTTTTATCGTACGTCTCTTCAGTTTAGAAGGAACCTAAACCCTAGTAATGCTAGCAGAATTCTGGTCTAGTTGCACTAAAAGTAGAGAATCCATGAAAACTTTTGCATCTGACTTTGCATAAAACTCTCTCAGCAATGTAGCAAGTCAACCATTGAAATTAAGTAAAGTAAGAGGAAGAAAGAAGTAATCGAGTAAAATATATTGTATGGCACTTAAATTCAAATGAAATTTGCTTTACAATTTTCCTACTTCATCTTTTCTTGTCGTCCCACTTTCTTATTAGAATGATACATACAAATTTAGGTATTTGTTGCAACCAATACGGACCAGGACATTGTCATGGGTCCCAATATCTCAAAGACTAGTGCCCTTTGAGTCATCAAATTATTTTTTACATAGATATCCAACTTATCATGTCTTAATTAATGTTCACCTTTAAAATTTTAATTGTCCCAGATTATGTCATCAATCAAAATACCTGATTTTTAATATGGCTATTGAATTTTCTACCTTTTTCCAGGACGACTCCAAGATTGACTTTAAATAATTTACTCGTTTCCGTTTTTTGTTTTTCTTTCTTCTTCCAAAAATTCTCATGTTGAACAGTGACATCCATTATCACAAACTTTTAATCCTTATTAAGCAGAAGATTATCCTAAAACCTGACTTCCATCAGGAGCATATGAACATGCATGATTGAACAGCATGCATACATAGTCCAATGGTAATAACATGGTACATCTGTAGAACATGTAATTAAGGAACATAAGAAAGAAGTTCAAGAACTTACATGATAAGAAGAGTTTCAATCATTACATGCAATGCATACATCACCTTTTTTTTCTTTTTTCTTTTTTTCCCTTTTTTTTTTTTGTGGATATTCCAAGCCTGCTTTCGTAAGCCTCTGACACTGTTACTCATTGCTTAATCTGGACCACTTCTTTAGCTTTCTCCTTCTATAAAACCCATTCATTTCTCATGCAGTGCTCCCTTACCAGATCAATGCAATCTGTAAAACAAGACTTCATGTTATCCCCTTCCATGTACTCCACCATGATTCCACCCGAGGCCACACGAATGAACTACTTTGTTCCTGAAAATCCTTTGTCTATTCCTGATAATTTCGACTTCATGGCAAGCAATTTACCAGCATTTGAATTAGACAGATTCTTGACCAACCTACCAAATTATCAGACATCTCCTGCAGTTCAGGAGTTCACTCCGAATTCCTCATGCATCAGCAACAACTCGACCTCTGATGAAGCAGACGAACCTCAGTTCTACATCATCGATGAAAGAAAGCAAAGGAGAATGATATCCAACAGGGAATCCGCTAGAAGGTCAAGGATGCGAAAACAGAGGCACCTTGATGAGCTTTGTGCGCAGGTTCTTCGTCTTAGAACTGAGAAACACAATCTCATAGACAAGTTGAACCACATGTCAGAGAGCCATGACAGGATTCTTCAAGAGAATGAAAGGCTCAAGGAAGAAACTTCTGATCTTCGTGAAATGGTGATAGATCTCCAACTTGGTACTTCCTATTCTGCTTTAAGAGAACTCGAAGACATTCCATCTCACAACTGAATCTTCAAATTAGTATGTCACTACTTCCACAAGCCTTCTTCACTGAGCATGAGCTCTTTTACTGACTCTGTGTGTGTGTGAGGAAGAGTGAGAGAGAGGGAGAATTTTATCCACTTAAATTCCTTTGTAACAGTACAGTTCAATGGATGCTAATCAATGTTTTCCCTAAGTATAACTGCATCATTATCAGAAGCAACATATGATATATCAATAAAATATGTATCAGCCAAGACCATGGTGCACATCAATGAGAAAAGTCCAGCTCATCCTGCTACATATTCATCGAACTGTTAGTGGAGAAAAATCAGTGGAATAATATTCTCTGTGGTCAATAATTTATAAATATTAGAATCTATCATTAGTTTCTTCCCATGATAAATCAGACAGATTACTTCACCAAGATGAATCATATGTTAGTCATCTGAGAATTAGATCAGAGAAGAATATCGGAAGATTTCATAAGGAAACTGAAAGAGAACACCAATATAGAACATTATTTAAAGCTTCATGATGATTTATATAATACAGTTCCTTTTTTCAAAATGAACAAAATAAGGTACAAAACAGTAAAACCAAAAAGAAAAGAAAAAGAAGTATACATGCGTGACTCTCTATGGATCAGGCTCCAATAACTAGGAGGCAGGGCCCATGGCCAGCATTCTGCGCTAAAAAAACTACAGGCAGAGGGACAAATGGTGGTGGAAACGCTGGTGATAGTGGCTCATAATTGAAGAAAGAACCATAAGAGGCAAAACGCTTGAAAAGGCAACACACTACATTAAAGCTACTGTTTTTACATTTTACGAGGCCAGTAATATATAACTAGGTCGTCCAACCCGGTCTACGGAGATCATATGGAAGAGACTATCATTCAGGTGGTTCCACTTGTGCACCTCACCGTTTCTGTACTGCATTTTCGTACACATGGAAAATCACTGTGAACAACATTCTACAGCACTTCTTTCTCCCTTTCATTTTGCTCGCCCTCAAAATATCCATAAAAAGGGGAAGAGAAGAACAGAAATATAAAAAGATCAAAATGAAACAAGTAATTAGGAACTCCTTCTTTCCTTATCTTTTTGTCAAACAAATAACAATAAGAAATCTTAATTTACTACTATGAATTTCTTTGCATCATGAAATTCCACTTAGATTGGCTAATTTCTTTAAGTCAATTTAAACTAGCGTTTGTACTTCCCTTTTAATGAACTCTAGCTGTGAAGATAGAACCGAGCCAAAAGACTGATATGTAAAAGTTCAAAGATGGTGTCTTCAACCAACCAAATCCAAGTATTTACTTGACAAAAAGAAACAAGAACAAAACAAACCAATAACAAGAGGAAAAGTAAATCAAGATAGATATAACAATTTAATACAGTGGGAAGCCACGTAATTACTCAAAATGAATAAACCTCTTCAACCTCAATTGCACCGGTCGTTGCTTGCACGATACATTATCTTAACACCAAATGTCCAAACCATCTTAAATGACTTATTATGTTGTTAAAAAGGATCTCTCTTTATATGTTCGTCCTGTTTAAAAGGTTAAACTTGATAAAATTTGCCAATAATCACCTCACATAGCAATGGCACTGCGAGCAGATCTACAGAAAGCTGCAGTATACCTAATAAGTTCACCATTTACTTTTGTGAAAATATCTGTTAAAGATAGAAAGATTATTTAGAATTATATTTCCTTTTATTGTAGGATTATTTACCTTAGTCATTGATTGTGTAATTTTTCCTTTTACGTTATTTCCTTTTCCAATTATTTGTAACCCTATAAATATGGTTCTCTACATTGTAATATACACAAGATCATTATTAATAAAATCTTTATTATTCTTATCATGGTATCAGAGCAGGTTTAACTTGGTCTTGGGTTAAACTTGCAAGCTTCTGCTCTCCGACGAGCAGCCTTGTGCTGCTCGTCAGATCATCCTTTTTTTTTTTTCCGACCAATTTTTTCTTAGAAAATAATTTCTTCCCCCTCCGACCAGTCCTTTGGAGCAAGCGTTGCTATTTCTTGTTCTCTTTTCCATGGTTCAGATGAATATGTGAAAAATCTTGCAGAATCTACTATAGATGACTCTTTGAAGAAAATTTTTTTGTTGAATATGGGACAATTCCTAGTGCTGTTATCATGAGGAATGCGGATGAAAAGTCAAAATGTTTTGGGTTTGTCAATTATGAAAATGTGGATGATGCTGCAAAAGATGTTGAAGCTCAAGTGTGGCAAAAACAATTGATGATAAGGAGATGGAGGCAATTGTTTTCCCGTCTTCTCTTTTTTTATTATTTTAATTTTTAAAGTTGTTATTAAAAAAAAAAAATCCGGATTTTTTTACCAGTGCCCCTTAAACAAATTGGGGGTTTTCAAAAACAAAAAATTTAAAGGGTCGTTATCTTGAATTTTACCGGCTCTCTCATGCCCCTTAAACAAACTAAGGGTTTTCTGCCTCTTAAACAAATTAGAGGTTTTTAAAAACAAAATTTTGGAGGGTCGGTATCTTGAATTTTATCGGCTCCCCCTGCCTCTTAAACAACCTAGAGGTTTTTTCTTCTGTTTAAAAAAATAAATAAATAAATAAATGAAGATTTGATTGGATTGAAGATTTGATTGGTCAAACTCAATATTCTACACCATACTGAGTTTGAGGGGAGGGTGTTAAAGATGAAAAGATTATTTAGAATTATATTTCCTTTTAGTGTAAGATTATTTACCTTAGTCATTGATTGTGTAATTTTTCCTTTTAAGTTATTTCTTTTTCCAATTATTTATAACCCTATAAATAGCGCTCTCTCTACATTGTAATATACACAAAATCATTATTAATAAAATCTTTATTATTCTTATCAATATCAATGATCATTCTTCTGTGGACAAAGTTTATGGTCGACCCGAGAGCATGTTTCATGCATTCAGATTTCTTAAATCTAGGTTTACTCATGACTTTGTTTGGCATGGAATTCAATTCCAAATACTTCCACAAACGCGGCCAACCTTGGGCCACACATGTCAGTCTCAAAATCCCAAATTAGCTTCTAATGATCACACTGTTTTCAGTGCCTTTTTACAGTGAGGAACAACAATCTCACAGCACAAATCCAGCAGCATCGTCATCTATTATCTAAGTCTACCATAGTGACAACCAAAGCCTTAGAGAAAACATCGTACAATTATCACATTATGAGGCATGAACAGTACCTTGACATCGAAATTCATTCACTTCCCGTATTTCCTAATACATCCTTCATGTGCAAATTAACATTATCCATTAGCATAATCTAAGAGTGCTATGATTGTCAATGTTTTTCATGAAAAATGTCATTTTTCCACCCAAATTCCTACTTTTATACTGTTTGATTCATATTTTTTCAAGGATATATTTTTTTACTTTTGGTCACATGAGCATATTTTCTTTGAAAAAAAATATATATATATTTTCTTTAGAGGAGTAGATTTTTATTTTTCATATAATTCATTTCTATTTCTCTCTCGTCTTCCTTCTCTCTCACATCTACCTAGTAATAAAAAATAGACAAATATAATATTTTTTAAGTTGAAAATAAGTTCAATCAAACATATTTAATTGATAATTCCATGCAAATAATTTCTAAGCAATTTAATTATCTAGAATTTTTTTTTTAATATAAATTTCACGCTTGCAATCAAACACACAAAGGGTGTTTGAGCCACATTATTTTGGTAATAATGCATTCTTGAATAGTGTATTGATGGAAAGTGTATGGTTAAAAAGTAAGGAAATATTTTTGATTTGCGTGTAATATTATTTTATTGAAAAATATGTGATTTAAATGATGTCAAATCACTGTTTAAGAATATATTTTTTTAAAATAATGTGGCTCAAGCGGCCCTTAATTTTTTAGTTATGAAATTTTCCCTAAATAATTCTTGGTATTGAAGATGTTCAAAGCCCATATCCAACATCCAAGCCCGAAGGTACCTAGTTGTTGACTTGCTGCCACACTAGTCATGACTTTAAAAGTTCAAAAACTATAACAATAATGTTTTATACAAAAAAAAAAAAAAATGACTTGAAAAATAAAATTAGTAGACACAGATCAATATAACAAAAAAATAAATGTTGAATTTCGAAAAATATGATCTCGTAAGTCTACTTAGTAACATTTGACTACCAGTTAGTCGATTTTTTATTTTTTATTTTAAGAATTCAATACTTTAAGCTCTTGTTTGATTTTTATTATTTTTAAAATACATTTTTCTCTCCTATTTTTTTAGTCACACATTTTTTAATATAATAATATTACATACAAATTCAAAATATTTCATTATTTTTTAATTACATATTTTCCATCAATCTATCATTCTAAAATTATTAGGAAATAATATAGCTCAAACAGGCACTAAATAGAAAATTTTCACGGAATTTCATTGATTCGTAACTACGATTATCTAAGGAATATGATAAACAATAAAAAAATTTACGAAATATATTCGAATAATATAACTTTTAAAAATAAATAAATAAATTAAAATTTTAATAACTATATTATTATCTCATTTGAACGAATGAGAACATTAATGAAAACTTTAAAAAATTAAATTGGTACGTAAACGGGACAACTATCTTGGAACGTCTCGCCCTGCCTTGCCTTAAACGGGTAGCGAGGCGGGCCTACCCCATTGTCATTCCTACTCCTCTTAATAAGGTTGATTTTTTAAGATAAAATTTCAAATCTTAACATGGTATCAAAGCCCACTAAACTCTAATGAGCAATTCAATCGAATTAAGACTTAAAAAACGAACACAAAATTTCAAGATTGACTTGCTCAAAAGAGTCACCATCTTGAGTGGCTATGTTAAAAGATTATAATCTTGCATCGAATAAAGAAGAAAATATAAATCAATTTATAAGAATTTATGGTACTACTCTTAATAAGGTTGGCATTTTAAAATGGAACCCAAAAATTTAACATATTACTAGGATAAATTCACATATGCATAAAAAATTATTTATAATTAAAAAAATTACTTACAATTGCAAAATTTACTTAAAAATAAAAAACATTGACTTAAAATAAAGGAAAAAAATATTTTGCTAATTTGGTTAAAAGGAATATTTAATTTCGGTAATTATCAATTTAAAATTCTTAGTTAGATTATATATTAAAATTTTTAAAGAAAATGAAATTATAAAAATTAGATAAAGCATATAAATATTATATATTTAAAATTGCAAAAATTGAATATTTCTTTAATTTTGGTAATTTAATAAAAGGAATATTTATTTTTGATAAAAAAGTAAAAGGAAAAAAAAATATTTTGCTTATTTGATTAAAAGGAACATTTAATTTTGGTAATTATCAATTTAAAA